ATCGTTTATTGCTAACGTACAGAACAGCTGGCCATCTATCTTGCACTCTTGTTCCAATTGTCTGCTAATCCAAGGAATTTGAGGTGGGGGCAGGGTTTGTCTTATTCTTTTGTTTTTATAATTGGTTCTTTCGGATTCTCCACATACAATCATGTCATCTTCAGAGAAAGTCTTATTTCTTCACCCTCCATGTACATATCTTTGATTTTCTTATTGTAATATCTAGGACTTCCAATTTAGTCGCTCTTAAGAGGAGATACCTTCATTTCTTCCTGATATTAGGGTGAAAATATCTAGTCTTAATGGCATTAGAGTAATGTTTGCTATAGGGTTTTTCTTTTTTTTACATGTTCTTTCAGGTTGATTTTTTTTTTTTTCAGGTTGATTTTTCACATAGAGAACAATTGTTGGGACTTGCGATCAGGACAATTTAGCTATCTTCAGCTGCCAAGAACTTTTGTGGGTGCCCTGGAGTCATTTAGAAATTAAGGAAGCTTTAGTAGCTTTCAAGAGACCAGAAATTAATCATCAGGATTCTGATAAGGATCTGGAGCAGCCAGGCGCCTGCTGCCACTGCAGGGGAACGAGGCAGTTTTAGCTTGCACTGGCCTTGGTGAGGACAGGGTCTGGGATACAGTAGATGCCTGTAGCTTTTCTGTGTCTCATGAGGAAGAAAGGAGGACATGTTAGCATTCATTGCAGATCTACATCCATCACTTATATAATTCTGCTGTCAGGAAGTTTGAGTATCCAGTTCCAGAAAACACCTTTATCTTTTCCAACAAAACAGATAGCACTATAGTGGCTCCTAGGTTTGGAGCTCAGCAAATGGCATCAAGAAAAGCCAGCCTGCCTCCCTTCCTCCCTTCCTTCCTTCTCTCCTTCCCTGCTAGACTCTGCGTATTAGCATCTTCCTTAGGTTCTATCACCTCATGATTATAAAATGGCTGCTCTAAACCCAGGCATAACATCTGCATATGGTAATGATTAAAAGGAGAAAAATGCCTTCTTTTCCTTGGCTCTATCTCTAAAATGGAGAAAAGTATTCCTCTAAGCTCTTGAAAGTTTCCTCTCACACTAACAGGAATGAGATCACATGACCATGTTTGAGCCAGTTGGTGCTCTAGGGGGAATCAATGATGGTTGGTTTAAACCACTGAGGATCTACCCTTGAGGTATAATGAGCAGGAGGGGTATATCCTAGGATGAAACAGGGTTCTCCCAGCAGAAAAAGAGCAAGTCAGAGAGGCTGCTGGCCAGGTTCACTACACTCTTATTAGAGAAAAAAACGTACCGACTTTCAGGTAAGAAAAGTCACACATAATCCCACCAAGTCCATCTCTTTCAGACTCCATGTCCTGGTCCATCCATGTGCTTCCTGCTGCGCAAACTAGCCCCTGCCTCGGGCTGTGGTTCCAGGAAAAGGAAAGTCTCTCACTCGTGCAGAGCACATCAGGGGCGGGCGCAGCCTCTTCCTGCTCTCCCGAGCCACCCTTCAGCTTGGCGCTGAATCTGTTTATTAAGTTACAGCTAATGGCACTGCAAGGCACTGAAGGCTGCACGTGCAGGACTAGCTTGGGACTGTTCACAGAGGTCTGGGGATAAACATCATATTCATATTCAATCCAATTGCGAAAATTCAATTGTAGCTCTTTCTCTCCCAGGGAGTGCCGTCAAGATTGGCAAGGGGCTTCTACTGGGTCCCGCCTGGGTTTAATAGAGATGAAACTTCCAGAGCAGACGGGCTGTTTTGGGAAAGTGGCCACTAATGGGGCCCTGCAGGGCGGGGGCTGAGGACTGCACCAAGCAGTTTGCATATTCACTTTTACAAACAGTTGGCTCCACGTCAGCAGTTAATGGAATGGCAGTGATGTTCCTGCCCCAGACCATTTCCTGAAAACAACATTTTTAATTGCAATCCTATTGCAACCTTTCTTCTCCAGTTTGTTATGTCTCCACGAGTGACCTGAGGAGGCCAGCCGCAGGGGAGACCTTCTCCCACTTGTTGGTCCAAAAAACATTTTTCCCAGTAATCGCCACGTTAACCAGGATAGTGCTTAGACCCACTTGGCAGAGTGTGAATGGTGATTATCACACCTTTAGCCGCACTTCAGGCATGTTTAAATGCCCTGCTGTCCATGAATGGGCTCTGGCTCTACAACCATCTGGGGACATGTATGGCTGTTCTCAGCTTACGGAATGCAAACTGAAAATGCTGGCCCAGAATTGTGCATCCACAGGCACAAGAACACAGTTGTATGTGCTAGCATGTTCGTGTATGTTCTGTCCCCAGGCACAAGGCCCAGTCCTTTGTGAGTTAACACTGCTTCGGCCCATTCTGCCTCAGCTTGTGACCTGCGCAGTGAGAGGTGCTGCGAATCATTTTGATCATTCATCCAACAAATATTTCAGAGTGCTTATTGTTCACAAGATGCTGTATTTTTTGGAAATATAAGCTTTTTGTTATGACAAAAAAATGCCATCTTTTTAATTTTCCTTTTTTTTTAAAAAAAGGAACTAATTAATCCCTCAGATTCTCAAGGAATAGTAGAAGCAGCAGGTGCAGAGGCAGGCATCATTCTCAGTACTGACGTCAACCCATCCCATCTTCTTAACTACTCCAATTCTGTCATCATTCCTGCTTGCACATGGGGAAACAGAGACACAAGAGATCAGAAAACTGGCCCAAGGCCACAGAACTAGGAAGTGGTGAGTTCTGGGCTTGAATGTGGGCAGCCTGGCTCTTAACCACTGGACCACTTGGCTTCTTTGGGGCTCTAATAGTGAAGAAGGTAGAAAAAAAAATGCGAGGTCTCAACACAGCTTGCATTCAGCTGGTGAAGCTGATAACAGATATGTCATCAATGAGTATGTCAGATTCTGCTGAGTGTTCTAAAACAAAACACACGAGGTAGGCAAGTTAAATCGCCAGTTAGGATCACTAGCTCCTATGTTAGAGTGCCTGGTCCTGGTACTTTTACTTCCAGTCCAGCTTTCTACAAATACCTCCTGGGTGGCAGCATATCATGGCTAAAGTGCATGGCCCCTGCTGCCTAAATGGGAGACCAGTATGGAATTCCACACTCCTGGCTTTGGCCTGACCCAACTCCTGTTGCTGTGGGTATTTTTGCTCTCTCTCTCTCCCCTCTCTCTGTTACTCTGCCTTCTAGGCTGATGAAAATAATCACTAGACTTTTAAAAACAAGTAAGATATGAGAGAGAGGCAGGGGCTTAACTCACCCACTGGGTTCTAGTGATGGTGGAACTGTCCCTTCACTGTGCTGTCCAGGATAGTACATCCCACTTGCAAGCCATTGAGTGGTAAAATGGTGCTTGATGCAACTAAGGAACTGAAATGGAACTGGTACATGTGGCTGGCAGCTGCCTTGTTGGAGACAGAAGACCCTAGGTGTGGCATTGCTGGAGGAGAGAAGGCCCTAAGCAGCAGCCACTTTCCCATCAGCCAGGCAATCCACCTTGCACCTGCCCTGAAGTGGGGCTTGATGAGCATGGCTGGGCATGCAGGGGGAATGAAGTAATGAGAATTGAGCTTTTAGTGCTCAAGGGAAAGAATTGCCTGGAAAAGTAGGTTAGGGGAGATACTAGAAGAAAAGTATGGTGCTAGGGAGTCCAAGTTTTCTCAGCTCAAGGACAGATGCACTCCTCGGCCTGCAGAGCCACATGGGCTCTGAAAGCACTATTTCCGGCTTCCTGAAGGATTTGATGGTGTAGAATTTCCAAAAGAATGTATGTCTGTGGATGTGGAGGTTCTCAACAGTGACTAGCTGCTGTCCAGAGGAATGTCAAGGGCCCAGGGCTTGTCATGCATGTTGGATCTCTTGAGGGGAGAATGTGTTTCCCTGTCTCTGTTAGGCAGTCTTACTCTCCTTCCAGTGGCAGCCATCTGAGTCTTTGCTGATGTGAAAGAACCCTTTGTGAGTGGCTTCCTGTACTTGAGAGTTTCTACAAGTCTGTGCTGGCAACTAGGGAGGCCAGCATCCATGGGGAAAAAAAATGATAACAAATAAAAATGGGAAGATGGGCCAGTGTCTTTATGAAGGTCGATTGCAGCTGCTGCTGCATTAGCTCTTTAAGAACCCCGTGGTGACCGATGCCTTCAGAGAAAGTGGTTGTTCTGTGCTTAATTGGCAAGAAGTTGGGGGATTTAAGTTGCTGCTTTTAAAAGGGGGTAATTCAAGGTCAGTGTTCACCAAGTACTCATTGCACAACTGGTTGTGTGGTAGGGTTTGTTTGTACATATTTTCCAACTAAGGCTCCCAGTGGGTACTAAGGCTCCCAGTGGGTACCAGGAGGGCAGATTGGTGGTCATTTTGACTAGTGATCTTTGTATATTTTTCTTGAAGAAAGTTGAATTGTAGATTTCCAGGAGTAGAAAGCTTAGAACTCATTGGGCATCCAGTGGAACGCCTCATTCTCAGTGGAGGAAAACAGACTTAGAGCCGTTAGGAGGAGCCCAGCTCCAGGCCTCTCAGCTGGTGGGTGCAGGAGGACCCAGAGCAGGGCCCTGGGAAGAGGAGTGCAGGCAGGGGAGGCCCAAACTGAGGGTGCATAGGACGTAACACATGTATAGCCTTCAATGGGTGTCATGGTTCATCTGATCCCCAGTGTCTGATCACCCATGCCACCCCTGTGACTGTGCCCTGAAGGAGTGGCAGGCTGGAGACAAAAGGAGAGGGCAAGAGGGAAGTCTGCCCACTGTACCCCAGTTCACCTTTCAGAGAGGGAGCAGCTTTCTGCTCCAACACCTCCCTGTTCTCAGAGAAGAGCACATGAGGTGACAGTCGGAAGAGAGGAGATTAAAGGGACAGTCAGGTCCTTTCAGCTAGGAGAGGCCAGGAATCGATCGTAGGCTAACAGCTGTCATCTAACTTGCATGTGGTTTGTACACATGGTCACTATGGAACATGCGTGTTCCCAAGCTCCGACCCTCTACCTCAGCAGGCAGCTGGCATGTGATTGGCCTCTTCTGTGTCTTTTAGTGTCCGAGCTACAGGAGGAGGGCATGAACGCCATCAACCTGCCTCTGAGCCCGATCCCATTCGAGCTGGACCCTGAGGACACCATGCTGGGTAACTGTGTGCCTTTTGTCTCTTTGAACTGGCTAAAGGCCTTTGAGTGTAGTCTCCCCTCGACTGAATGCCTTTTCTTTTTCAAGAGGAGAACGAGGTGCGAACCATGGTGGATCCCAACTCACGCAGTGACCCCAAACTTCAGGAGCTGATGAAGGTAAGAAGATCTTAGGAGGGGACCCGGGGTACTCCTAGACCCCACCTGCTCCATGCAGAGGCCACATGGGCCAGTACAGAGAGATCTCCAGCCATGGCAGGTCCTACTTGTAGGTGGTTTATGGTCCCCAACTGGACCCTGAAACATTGCCAGTGGCCTGAGTGTGGCACACACTCGGAGTTGATGCTAAGTGTACAGAAGTGGGAGCAAATGGGCTAACACCGGTCAGGATCCACGAATGCACTAGGCCCTTCCACTGTGAGATTCAAATCAGTATCCTTCCCTACTTTCCAAATGAGCCAGCTCCATGTCAGAAAAGCCCGTGAAAGATGGGACTCAAGCAGAAATGAGTGGGGTCTCGGTCACCCTGGCACAGTGGATGCATACGGTCACACTTCCCAACCTGGCCATTTCTCACTGCTTCTCAGGTGCTGTCCCCCTTCCTCTTCAGTGTTGCCAAGCTGCAGTGAAACCAGAAGGGCCCCGAGGTCAGAGGGGGACTGCTCCCTGTGTAGGTCTGCACTTGACTCGTCCTGTCCAAAGCCTACAGCTGGCCAGGAGCCACCAGGAGACCCCTAACTCTTGCCTGTGGCATCTTGGGCCCAGGTGGAAGCTGTTTTCTCACATCATCCCCACTCTGGCAACACATTTGTCTTTACAAGGCCACACTTGCTGCCACACTACTCCGGTGCCTATGCTTCTGTGCCACCTTCTGCCTGCCACATGAAAGACACATCATCTGGGGCTTGCATCGTGGTGCCACCTGCGATGCTGGCATCCCATGTAGGCACTGTTTCATGTCTGAGCTTCACCAGGTGACCAAGTGCTTGGGCCCCTATCACCCACATGGTGCCTATGGTAGGGTGTAGCCTTATGCTTGCTCACAGACACTCGTGTGCTGACATGGGTGTGCTGCTGTGGCCCAGGAGAACCTGAGGGTGCAGACAGAATGGGCTCTGAGCAATTCTGACCTACCAGCCTGTCCCTTGTCTTTGTGAGAAGGTAGAAGTTACTGGTGCACAGGGCTGCCCATGGGCTGGTGCCCCAGGTGCCATCTTTGAGCACAGCACCACATGCAGCATTGAACACCTCCTCACTTCTGGGGAGAGGATCAGACTTCGAGACTGAGGTGAATCAAACACCTCGAAGCCCCAGTCTTCCCAGTTAGCCCCTGGTCTTTTTTAAGGTTTACTTGATTTTATTTGAAAGGCAGATTTGCAGAGGAGAGCGAGCTCCATCTGTTGTATTTTAGGGCACAACACCAGCCTGGCACGGTAGCCTAGTGGCTAAAGTCTTCGCCTTGCATCTACCAGGATCTCAAATGGTTGCTGGTTCGTATCCCAGCTGCTGCACTTCCCATCCAGCTTCCTGCTTGTGGCCTGGGAAAGCAGTAGAGAACAGCCCAAAACCTTGGACCCTACACCTGCATGGAAATCCTGGGAGAGGCTCCAGACTCCTGGCTTTGTATGGGCTTAGCTACAGCTGTTATGGCCACTTGGGGATTGAATGAATGGACAGAAGATCTTTCTCTCTGTTTTTCTTCCCTGAAAATATGACTTTCCAATAAAAATAAAATAAATCTTAGAAAAGAAAAAAAAAAAAAAGGACACAACACCACCAACGCTGAGCTGATCTGAAGCCAGAAGCCAGGAACTTCTTCCAGATCTCCCACATGGGTGCAGGGGCTCAAGAACTTGTACCTTTCTCTGTTGCTTTCCCTTGTGCATTAGATCAAAAGTGGAACAGCTGGGATGTGAACTGATGCCCATGTGGGATGGCAGCACTGAAGGCAGAAGCTTAACTTACTACACTGTAGTGCTGGCCCCAAGTCTCTGGTGTTTATTGAGTCTCAAACACAGAGTTTTTGAAAGAGTCTTTCACTTCCACTCCATCCTACCTGCCTCCAGCTTGGACAGAGCCTCTCCAATGCTCTCCCACAGTACTCCATGCTCCCCAGCTTTGGGATTTAAGCCTTTCGTGCTTTCATCCAGTTGTTCCCTGGCTTCCCTCGCCATCACACCATTCCTCCAAACTCGTCCAGGACAGGGACTTACTGCACTGGATACAAGGTTGTGCCTGATATATAGCAGGTGCATAATAGGTACCATCCTCCTGCCTTGTGGCAATGCAACAGGCTCCACCAGCAGCCCAGCCAGGAATGGATGCTCTGCCACTGCTGGTGTATCACAAAGGCAGGATGTCTGTGCTAAAGCGGAGAAGTCAAACACAAGAGGCAAGGTTGGTGGGAGGACACCTCATGAGAGATCCTAAGAAAGGCGAACTGTAGGGGTTCCCTGAAGCTGATGGGCAGAGGAGAGGACTGAGGACAGATGGGCCCCAGGAAGCCTCTTGAGGGAGATCACCAGTCTGTATCTGGGCTGTGCTGTTACAGAGCTGTGTGTGCCAACCACAGTCCATTACTGATAGCTTCAGGTTGCCTAATAGCATTGTATGTAGACAGCATCTTAGTGAAAAAAGCAAAGAGAAAGGCTGCATTCATGCACACGTTTCTGTTTCCCTCCCTGAAATGGAGCTAAGGATCCATGCCCCTTGGGGGTGTTGTGTGGATCCATGAGTGACACGGCACAGGCAGTGCCCTGGTACTTAGTAGACTTCAGGTCGTGGCTGCTGCAGAGCAATAAGGAGGGGGCCTGTGGTGCCCCACACGTGGCAGTTCCATCTGGAGACAGAAGACACATCTGCTCAGCAGTGAGCTGGACCAGGATCCACTCAGTTCATGACCTTAAGCAAATTGCTCTCCTGCTGCGCTGATTGTCTCTCCTGCCCGTGGTGGTGACAGCAGCCACCTCCCCAGCTGCCAACCAAGGTGTACTTTGTTATTAACGCATCCGTGTTCTGTTCAGTACTGCTCCTTGTCAATGTTTTTCGCTCCCTGTTGTGGGATATACCCCCATGCTCAATGTTATAGTTAGGGAGGCAAACACTTAGGGACCATACAGCTCACCTTAGATCTCAGAGGTGTGTGTGTGCACACACACGATGGTGGTGCACAGACAAGTAGGTGACCATAACTGGGGTTTCATCCCATATGTAAATGCCAAAGTCCACACCTGTGCCTAAAATGCAGCCACACAACCACCTGCTGAGAATGCCACTTGCTCTGCAGGTAAGACTTGGTGGCTCACAGGGATTCTACAACAGCTGACACCTGAAAATTAATGCAGCCAGTGGGGCCTGCTGTCAGAATTACTTGTCCTTGCATTGGGTTGTGTACATTAATATGTTACTTTTACAACCAGAAATTTGTTTAGATTTTAATTTTCCCAGATAAGAGAGCAGGTCTGTAAGAAAATATCACCTGAATCTTGGCCTTTTTTTTTTTTTAAAGATTCATTTATTTTTATTGGAAAGGCAAATTTACAGAGAAAAGGAGAGTCAGAAAGATCTTCCATTTGCTGGTTCACTCCCTACGTGACTGCAATGGCCAGAGCTGAACCGACCCAGGGCCAGTAGCTTCTTTGGGGTCTCCCATGTGAGTGCAGGGTCCCAAAGCTTTGGACTATCCTCTACTGCTTTCCCAGGCCACATGCAGAGAGCTAAATGGGAAGTGGAGCAGCCAAGATATGAACCAGTACCCACATGGGATGCCTGTGCTTGCAAGGTGAGGATTTAGCTGCTAGACTATTGAGCCGGGCCCTCTTGACCTGTTTTCAACCTCCATTCTTTATTCTCTCTGCAGGTTTTAATTGACTGGATTAATGATGTGTTGGTTGGAGAAAGAATCATCGTGAAAGACCTGGCTGAAGACTTATATGATGGACAAGTCCTGCAGAAGCTGTTCGGTAAGAGGAGGGTTGAGTGGCACATTGGCGTGTCTCATGGGCAGGTGCATGAGCTGCTTCCTCCTAGCTGGATGTCATTGTTGTCGGTTCACAGCTGCTTACGCAAAATGACCTGCAGACTGAGTCTCCAAGATCCTCTACTAGGTAACTGGAAACATGGTCCCTCCTCTCTAGAGAAACTGCAGTTTTAGGTTCCTGGAGGACAGTCCTGTGTGTGCAGGCAGGTGTGTGTTCTGTGTGCGAGTGTGTGGCTTCCTCTGGGATCAGTGAACAGGTACTTGTGTGTGTGTCCGTTATGTATGGACGTGTGTGTACAGCCCTCCCTGATCTGTGAACTTGTGTGTATGTTTGGGTGGTAGGTATTGGTTCCTGTGGGTGGGAACCTCACCTGCCTTCCTATGTGCCTATATGCTGTTCAGACCTGAGTGTGTTTCATACATGTATGGTCTTTATGAATTGCTTATCCCTGCATTGTGTAACACACACACACACACACACACACACACACACACACACACACCCCACAAGTATGTCAGTCATTTAGCCCATCCTTATAGAACTGAGAGTCCTGGGAATTTAACCATATCAATGTAGCCTATTTCACATCATTAAACTGAAGAAAAATGGGTGCTCTTTAAAGAATTTTTAAAAGATCTTAAAATAAAAAGTCATAAGGTGGTAAATCAGGGTAGTTTGGTGGCTTCCTAATGGTTTCCCTTGGAAGTTCTCGCCGTTGTTTGAGGACAGAGATGAGTTTTAGAGCCTTGTCATGATAGAGGAGTCTGGGTGCAGCTTGCCTAGGCATCGTAGTAAGGCTTTGGCTGGCATTCTGAAAAGACTCTTAATAAGCGTTCTTTGGCTCTCCAGAAAGTCAGTAAGCAAAAATGCCTTGAGCATCCCAAAGACTGTGACCGTGACCTTTGCCCTTGACCAGCCTGTTTTTGCTTTAATTGTACACTTCCACATCTTGGTAGCCATTACTACGAATGTGCTTGGCTGTTAGGATCCTCTGGGAAATCAATTTCCCTCTTATTCCAGTTCTTTAAAAAAAAAAAAAATCAGGGCCTTGATCCTACTTGGTTAAAATTTCCACTAAGAGTTCTGTTGTTGGCCACAGCTGATTTTGTACAACAGTTTTAGCTCCACACTAATTTGTCAGTTGGGACTGTGTGAGGTGAACCCATTGAGGTGTCTGTGATGTCTCTTGTTTCTCCTGGTTTTCTTCCGTCAGAAACCAAGATTGATTTTTCCATGGATGTTGATGTGCATGGCTGCATCTTCAGCATCATCTTATCCTTAAAATGTGTTAATCATTTATAAACTGCTGGTTTATTTGGTGTGTTCTTACTATAAGCTTTCATAACACACCAAAGATTTCACCATTCCTCCATCCAGCCTTCACCATCAATTAGATGTTCCTGCTTCAACTTTAGAATTCATGCTGTTCTGATAAGTGTTCTTTTCTAATGTTCAAACTGATGTCATTCTTTTTAGTGCCTCAAACTAGAACCTGTTCAGACATGTTATAACAAGTTACTATGACTAGACTTTGGCACAAATTTTTTTTGAAACGCATACTTCCCATAAACTGATGATCCTATAAGTATGAATCTGCATATGTATATATATATAAATACATATATACACATGCTTGTGTGTATATATGTATATATGCACTTAAATGTGTATATATGTGGGTGTATAGATTCATGTTGAGTATCCCTATTCCAAAAGTTCAAAATGCTCCAAAGTCTGAAATTTGAGAGTAACAAGGTGGACATTTCCACACTGGACCTCATGTAAGGGAAGGGATCACAGTGAAAATATAGGCACACTAAAATGACCATATAACATTACCTTTAGTTTATAAATATAAGGTGTATATGAAACATCAATGACTTGTGTGTTTAGATTTGGGTTCCCTCCTCCAGATATTTATGTGTATGCACATATTCCTGAATCCAAATACATCTGAATTCCAAACACTGATTCCTTAAATAAGGAATACGCTGTATAAATATGCCTTTGTGTGCACATACACATGCATCTATATGCTCATGCCTTCACATGAGACCTCTCATGTTGTCTGTGACTGTTTATGTAAGTGGATCTGGGCGTCATAAGGGTAAGAACCACAGCTTATTTATCTAGACTTCTGTGATCAGGTTGCCTAGCACATGTTGCCTAGCACTTAATCAATGTCTATTGTGTGAATAAATGAATGGCTAATACACAATCTAGTTAATTTCTAGGAAGCTAAACTGATTTGGTACTCAGATATTGATATTAATGAGTGTTAATATCTGGAGGTTGTAAATGCCAACTGTATGCATAATAGACATGAAAAAGCTCTGGCACTTATCGCCTAAAGCAGCCAGAAGCCTCACCTAGCATCTCTCCTGGTGACAACAGCTCTTAACTCGTGCAGCAAATTCCTAGCCAGGTTCTAGAACTGTCTCAGTATGTTCTGTGCCAGGCTCTCAATGCAGTAGCGAACACAGCCATGGAGACACTGCACCTCCAGCATCATATACATGCCTCCCTTGCCAGGTCTCGTCATATTAAGTCATATTAATCATATTAAGTCATTTCAGATCACAGCTTGTCTGTAGAAGAGGCGATTCACTACACAGGTGATACTTCTTTTGTAGATTGTAAGTTTAGGTTATTTGTGAGTCTAAGGCTACATGTACACATTGAAGACCTAAAAGTAGGGTCCCCAGATTGAAAGAACCCAGTCTACATCAGAAGTGCCTGGAAGGGAGCAGGCATGACAGTCTTCAGTGACCTCTGCGATCTTGAGTTTGCCCTCTTTCCAACACAGGGCCCTTGTCATTGATGTATCAAAGCAGATGTTATGATTCATCACTGGGGATGTTAACTCATGGGTAAGGTTAGTCATTGTCAAGTCACTGTTTGAGATGAGACACTTTGGGGCTGTGCACATAGTTTATCTTGCCTTAAACTACTGTCACTCATTCTGACATCCCTGTGTGGTGTATAAGCCACAGGATTACAGTGGTTTTCTAATGCTGATTTTCTCTTGTCCTTATTCCTTCTACATTTATCAGTTTGAATTCTTATAAAAGGAAGAGTTGTCTTGTCACTCCACTTTATTCAGTTATGTATAGGAAACTGAGCATAAGGATATTCAGTTTGTACTTTAAGTTCTGGTCTAGGCCTTTATTACTTACTTTATGCTCATGTTGTCCTAGCCTTGACCCCTAGGTGCACTTCCTCCACACTTGGAGGGTGCTGTCCCTGTGGAGGTTTTTTGTTTTGTTTTTTCTTTTTTCTTGTACTTCCTTGCTTCCTGCCATCATACAGTGCTTTATGTTTCCCTTGTACTACACAGTTATTCTCCCCAAACCATGTTATTCTCCCCAAAGCAACCGCTCCTGTAAGAGCCCTGATTTCTTTAATTGCAGAAGAGTCATATTTAGATATCAATATCTGGGCATTTCAGGGAAGGTTTTGAACCTGCTTTCTGTAGCATAAATAATGAACCAGCATTCACTGGGTGACAGCATGGTGATTTCCAGAAGCTGAGCTTCCAAGTATATCAGGACTTAAGTCTCCCTAATACTGAGTTAGTAGGGTGTGGAGAATAAGAGGGGACTGAGCTTGAGGTTAGTCAGTTACGGAAGTGCTGGCACTTCCAAGACGGTAAGAATGGCCTGGGGCCTCCGGCAGTCAGGAGTACATGCATCTCTGACATCAGCCTAATGATGTGAAATACAGGTGACCATGTTGATGACATCATGCAGTAAGAACTCAGGACCTAGAGGTAGATGTGAGCAGGACTTTCCAAGCCATCTTTCCCAGCTGCCCTGGTGCTGCTGTTTGAGAATCTTCCCACCCACTTGCCCTAGCCAAAGATCTTAGTTCAGTCATGTTAAAACAAAGGGCTTGGGAGGGGGGGCGCAGTTTATGTTGGAGGCAATCTTATAAAGTATAGATCACCAAGTAAGGGGACACAGGAGGGCAGAGAGATGCCATGTAAGCCTGCCTTTCTAGAAAAGCCAACTCTGTTTACAACCTCGGCCCTACTCCTGTGGAGGCAGAGCAGGAGTAAGGCTTAAGGCTATCTGTGGCTACAGGTGGATGCAGGTAGGACAGGGCACTCTGGAAAGGGGTACCTATATCACACAGAGAGACCTGAGGGCCCAGCAGCCTCTGCTGTGGCAGCTCGTCCTCCTGACACTGGCCATCTCTTGGGGCTGTTGTCACTGCCAGAACACATCAGATGGTGCCTACCCCATCCTTTCACAGGAATAGCTCCAGCCCTGCCCAGACCTCAGGGCAAAAGCTGCCCAAACCCAGAATGAGGAGAAAGCTCCTCCCTACACAGCTTCTTGTCCAAGATTACTTACTCACTTCCAGGATGATTTAAGGAGGCAAGAGCTTGGTTCTGTGGGAAGAAAGACTTAGCTCATGACACCAGCAAGGAGGCCACTGAGTGGGCCAAGTTGGTACATGAACCCCCCTCCCGCCCCAGAACATCCTGTATGCACACATGTCCTTGGTCACTGGTTACATTTGCATCCCAGGCACCCAAGCGGTAGATGTGACTGAGTGAGACAGGAGATATGTGATTCCAGGAAAATGCCTGCACACATAATCCATCATTTCATTTGAACATGAGCCACTGCCTGTTTCTCATTGAAATTTCCTGGCGTGGGCTGGTTCTGCGAGCTTCTTTATGGTACATTTTATTCGACTGATCCTTATCTTTGAACTTATGTGTGTACTGGGGATAGAAGAGGCCTGCTTGGAGGGGCTGAGTGTCCCAAGGTCCGTCCTGCTGGCTCTTACAATAGCACATCCTGACACGCAAGAGCTGCTTCCTGCACAGGACTAAGAAGGGTTCCTTGGGCTTGAGCCTGAGTGTTCTTTATTTCTTCTTCTTTCCTTCTCTCTCTCTCTCAAATAAATAAAATGAGTTTTAAAAGAGAGAGAGTTACAGCGAGAAAGAGAAAGATCTTCTCTCTACCAATCCA